GGTCAGAGAGTGGAATAGGCTGCCCAGGGAGGGGGTGCAGTCCCCATCCCTGGGTGTGTTTAAGGGCCGTTTGGATGAGCTGTTGGGGGATGTGGGGTAGGTAGGGGAGAACTCTGTAGAGTCGGGCTGGGGGTTGGACTCAATGACCCCAAGGGTCTTTTCCAACCTGAATGATTCTGTGATCTCTGACCCAGCAACACCCAGTCCTGAGGCATGGTAAAATTATTTTTAGAGCCAGCATGCCAGGACTCTCATCTCCTTAGCCAAGGTGAGCCAGACTTAGTGGGGAGCTGCCCACTGGCTCCCTCAGCCTGCCTGCAGCCCCAGCCCGCATCACGTGGCCAACACAACTCGCCTGGGTCTCCTGCCAGATATCCCTGAACCGAGGTTTGCTCACAGAGCTGGGGCAGCATCTGCAAATACTTACTGCGTCCCAAGTTGGTGGCCACATGTTGAAGCACTTCTATCTGTTTGATGGCTTCCCGGCGGGTGAAGTGAACGACCAGCACCCAATAGCCCGAGGAAAGATCTTGCAGGCTGGGAGGAGAAAGAAGGCCAGAAAAAGGCTAAACAAGGGCTTCGTTATCTCCATCCCAATTAACACCTAGATGGATTCCCCGGGCTGAGGCTGCACGCTAGGCACAGCACGGTGAAAAGGGCAGGTCCACGCTTACCCGTAGAGCAGAGCATGGTCCAGATGTTCACAGAGCCGCTGCAGAACCTTGTCGTGGTTTCTGATGGCCGGTGTCTCATCTTCACAGGCAGCAAAGTAGCTCTGCAGCTGCAAAAAGAAGAGATGGGAGAGCTGAAACACCCTTCTACAGCCCATTGCGGAGATGCGGACACTCACAGCCAGCATTAAATAGCTTTTTTTAAATGTCTCAGCTTGTTAAACTTTGATGCAGGTTACTTACAGGGTGTAACAATTGGTTTTAAGAATACCCTGAAGGCAGTAACTCATAGGGAGAACCTCACCCACAAAGATCCGTGCACTTTTCAGAGCCTCGGTCTTGTAGCACACATGCTCTGTGCTAAATCCATAAGAAATCTCAGTGTAGTTTCAGCATCCCAGGAAGAGACAGAAGTTTTTCTTGTAACAGGCATCTTGAGTAACTGCCCCAATGCTGGGCATTGATGCCAGGCAGCCAAGAGCTGCCCCAAACTTTCAAACACAGGCTGGTACAGATTGCCTGGCTGCACAGCAGCACTCGGAGGGTGCAGAGGACGGAGGCATGTGCATACGGGGCAACGGCAGTTCAATTAATCCCGAATCCTTTACCTCTCCTGGGGTGAGGCGACATCACTACCACACACCACGTAGCAGCACATAGCTGCTGCTTTCTCAAAAATCAGAACAGCTTGATTCATCCTCAGTTAACCCATTCACAACTGCAAAGTTAACTCTGTGGTCAGCGCTGGCCCCGTGCTCCGCTGACAGCAGCCCCGGCAGCCCCACACAGTGTAAACTGCTCTTCTGCTTCTGCAAAACCACTCACCAGAAATCCTAGAAATCCCCTTACACCCAAATCCTATATCCCTTCCCAGCTGAGCCACCGGCCTCCTCCTGTCCCTAGAGATTACAGGTCTATTTAGGTCCCCGTCACACACATAATTGGCATTCAGGCAGGGAGATTACACACCCGGGATGTAATCTCAGCTGTATATGCCATGTTTATTTGCTCTGGCTGGTGACAAGTGAGCACGGTTCAGCTGAGCCACGAGACGCATCACCCATCTGTATATTATTTTAGTGACCCAATATGTCTTTGCCAAACATCACCAGCTAGACAGCAGATTTGAAAAATAAAAACTTGACAGTATTGGGCTTGTCGAGTCTGACCTGTCCCTAGAAAGTGGTTTCTCCTCCTGAATTAGAGGCAGAGAAGCTCCTTTAGAACATCATCCAGTCTCGATGTAAAAGTTATCAAGGGGGACAGAGAACACCTCACAGCCCCTGGGGAACTGTTCCCAACAACCCTCTTAAAAATATGCACAAATCTAGCTCCAACACCCTCCTGGCTTGAAGACCATGACTCTTTCTGGAGCTCTTAGGTAAGATCCAGGCGTGTTCCTGCATGGAGCTAGTCCCAGCCTTTACGTGGGAAGGAACTGCCGAGCCCAAGAATCGTGGCCAAATTCCCTCATCTGATCACACAGCGCAGTTCAGCCTGTCCCTGTCCCGTCAAGTCCAGAAGGTAAATCCCCTGCGGAAGGAAATATGCAATAATGTTTTGTTTGCAGAGCCACCCGCGGGTGCTCTGGTGATGTATAGACTTTTCCACAACACCCAGGTGAGACTCAAAGCATTTCAGCTCAGCAGCTCTTACCCATTTTTGGGTAGAAGGCTCTCCCAGAAGATTTACACTATTAGTAGGCAGCTCAGACCCAAGCAGGGAGAAGAATGCCCTAAAATCCCTCTATTCAGGAACTATTTCAGGAGCTATCTGCAGCCAGTGTTTTAAGCTCCCTCCTGCAGCAAGGACACTAGAGGAAGAAACAAAGTCATAATTTAGTCACATCCCTCTGAGAATAAATAGATGGAGCCATGGGGGATGTTGTCCAAGAGCTGTCTGGAGCTCACTAAAACATTCCATTTTCAGGGAAACTGAGGCAGGAAGCAAATTCCCTGCCATATGGGACATGATCCCAGATTTGAAGGCAGAAATTCCTGGCTTGTCCCAAGCAGGCTGCTGCCTCTGCAGAGAGCCGGGGTACCCTCAGATGAGGTTCCTGTCCTGGGTGTTTCTGCAGGCTCTGTGCTGGCTTGAGGAAATGCAGCTGTGGGAGACAGGGGAAAACAAAAATAACAAGGCCCTACATTAGTGTACCACTGAAAACGAGGAGCCACTCAGCCAGCTCTGCACACACAGCTCAGGGAGGTCCTGTGGAGGGAACGTGGAGCTTGTCTGTGTCACCAACTGGAGGGATTCCTCACGACAGATAGACTCCAAGCTTGAGCAGCAGAAGAGATGAGCAAATAGAAACATTTCCTCTTTTTTTCTTTCCTTCCTTCTCCAAAAATAACTTAAGATCTGTTACAGTCCTTTCTGCAACCAGTTTACAGCTCCCAGCCCTCTCTGTTGCCACACGGACCAACCTGCTCCCATCACCAGAGGATGCAAACCATTAGCAAATGGTGGTTGTCTCATCTCAACATCTCCAAACACTGAGAAGCACCAGGGAATTTCTGGAAAAATGATTTTTCTTCCTTAGAAAAGCCAAAACTTCCACCTGTGAAGGGATCTAGGTTTTGAAGGGCTCATTCTGCATTATTTTTAAGGCTTGGTGTTACTCTGAGCTGCTCTGCAAGGAGCATGCAACCTCCTGCCCTGCACTGCATCCCCTTCCTGGGGAGGCAGGCTGCTGGAAAACCCAGCCTCACAGTGATATCCAGAAAAAACCTACCCCAAAAGGCTCAAATCTGCCCCTCTGCAACATCAGCAGCCAGAGGACGAGCTGGCATGACCGAGCTTTGCTCAGAGTCATGAGGCCACACCAGCCCCGCACACGTGGGACCCTGCGAGCGGGAAGCATATGCTCAGCAGTTTTGGGTTTGGATTCGGGCGCTCTGAGTCACGGCAGTTTAGGAGCTGTCGGTCACAGGGAAGCACACCAAGGGCACACTCCTACCCGCAGGGACAAAGATGTGCCACCATGTTCCCTGAATGGTGCTGCATCAAGGGGTGGTGCTGTTTCCAACATGACCACGGCTTACAGCCCCAAGGAAAAGACGTGCACAGATCGCTGGAGCACAACTAGCCCCAAAAAGGGATTAGCCAGGCGAATCCCCACAAGTGTCCAGGGAGGAAACAAGCCAGAACAAGCCTCGGGATCTCCTGGGTGGAGTCACCCCTACAGCGAAAGTGGGGAAAGGTGAGAGTTGCAAAAGCTGATGGGGAGGCGTTTTCAGCTTGGGAAGAGGAGTGAAGACACACATGGAGGAAAGGTACAGTGAAACAGCTTTCCCAGTTGGGGAACAAAATCCAGTTGAATCATTTCCCCATGGCCCACTGGCCTGCTCCAAGATCCACCTAGCTGAAAATCTGTAGGAATTATGACCACAAGCATCTCAGGGCAGAGGCACAGACCATGGATGATCCCAGCACCTGGCCCTAATCGTGCAGCACAGGCAGAAATGATGTGACACTTCCTTGAAAAACTGTCATTTGTATGGAGTGTTTACTGTAAATCACTATAAAACACTAACGAATAATTTGAAACCAACCTCTCCCTAATCACGGCGTGGCAGGCGGACCTGTCTGGGAGGTGGTTGACCAAACCTGATGAAGCATCCACAAAGCAGCTCCCTGACATACCAGGGCAGCGAGCTGTGCTGGGGCCAGGGAAAATCAGGAAGGAGGCAAGCAAAAAGGTTAAAAAGCATTAACCAAACGTGATGCTGGTTATGTGTGGGTTTTCCAGAGAGATGCTCTTCCCCTCATCTCCTCTGCGCTCCAAAACCAGAAAGAAGTGTTGAAGGCTGGCTTGGACAGAGGACTCGTGTGGGGCACGGTGAACGCCTTGAGCCCTGACTCAGGGTTATTTATAGACATTCCTGTGGCCAAAATAAGCGCCGTTGGCATGCAGAAGGCATCCCCGCCATTCACCGAGACCACTCTGCAGCCCCAACTGGGTCCAAGCATCAGTGTTGCGACAGCACAGGACAAAACCTGCTTCAGTGTATGCCAAAACGCTCGAGGTGGCGAGTTAAACACCCTTGAGAACAAAGTTGAGCACAAGGACGTTTGTCCAAAGGGAAGAGGGAGCTGGTTTGCATGGAGGTAACACGAGGTTTGTGCTCCTTATAATCGCACCTCATCCCCATGGAGGAGAAGGTGTTAATAACGATTTTTTTTTTTTTTTTTTTTTAGTGATACACCACACCCCATGCTGGCATGCAAAGGAAAGGATACTCCTTATAACTTACTAATTGCACCAGTTCTCAATGAGTGTGAAGCTTTCCAGGCCCATTTGCAGAGCTCCTGTGTTGCAAGGGATGCCAACAAACGATGGGGGAGGCTGTAAAGCCCATTCTACAACTCTAATCATTCTTGTGGTGCTCCTTTGAAATCTCTCCAGTATTTCTAAAACCTTATTGAAATACAGTCTCCTGACCTGTTCACGGCTGGCCACAACCCAACTGAGTCTCCATCTCCCCACTGTAAATCTGGCCCACAGATGTTTCACAAGCAGCCTTCCAACACCAAGTTCATTTCCCTTGTTTTGCTTGGTATTTCCCTGGCAGGAAAAACACAGCAAAAGAAAAGCAAACACCCCTTGCATTCCCCCAGCTCCCTAACCGCCGCACTTGCTGCATGGGAAAGGTGAGAGGCGCTTCAAAACCCACTTTCCCACTCACAGCACATGGGCTGGCGAGGGTTTTTCCCCTGCTCCAGGAATGCAAAACAAAACCAGTACCACAAAGCAGCAAGCAGACAGCCAGAACCTAACTGCCACAGCCTTTTCCTGACTCGGCTCCTGTCCTTTCACTGTCTTCCCCAGCGGTTGGAAAGACACCTTTTCCAACCTATCAAGGAGGTTTTCTTTGAGGGCAGTATTTTGTGAGCCATCCAGGCAGGCAGCTGAAGACACAAACCCTTTGCTAGATACAACCCCCTTCCCCAGCCTGCTCCCAGCATCTGCTTTTCCACCACGCTGCACTGGTGGACTGGACAACGATGGTGGCACGTTAACCTGTTGGATTACACAGCCAGAATAACCCTTACACAGCAAGAGCAAACCTGTATGGTTTCCTGTGAATGCAGGTTGCAAAGCTGTCTA